AATTGCACTGCCATGAGCACTGATCGCTCTCATACAAGATTTTCTGTAGGTCTCTTGTCAACTGCCCTCTATCCACTCCCCCCACCCTCAGGTACCCCAACAGGGTGCTGCTGATTGAGCTGTTCAAGACGGTGGAGAAGCTCTGGCGGGAGAACAACCATGGAAAGGAGGATTGCTCAAAGTTCTTCATGGAAAGGGGGGCATGGTTGGTCTCGTCTGGGGTGGAGGGGGGGTACAGCCCGGACGGAGTCCAGACGTGCCATATGTTCATGCTACGGGCGGAGAGCCCCACAGACTTGGCCGTGCTCCTGTTGCACCACGTGGTGAGTGCCCCGTTGTAGAGAAACACAATTATCGTATTGATCACGAGTGCTCGTTCAAAAGATCCCGGACTCTTGAAAACAATGAAAGTCGAATACGTTCGACAGATGGTGAGCAGGCTTTGATTAACGAAGGTGTGCACATTTTGCGTTGGTATAGATCAAAAGTGTAGTTGTACATACTTCCGGTCTTTGTTGCAAAACGACAAGTGCCGATTAGGGCATCTAGCGGGTTGAAGCAACATCTACGTGGAGGAGACAACATGGTCACCTACGAGGTGTCTGCATGCTGCGATGTTCACGCACTCCCAACCTTGAAACTATCGTAGAGCACCACCACGCCGACGCGAAAGTACTCACGGCTGACTTTTGGTTCGTCCACCAGTAATTGGGCGGGACAAGCACAAACCCGCAATCCGGGTTGTGTAAAGGTCTCTTTCACGACATGTGCTTCTTGGTGTCCTTGCGCTTATGATAAACGACGTACTCGTTGTTGGCCGTGTTTTTCGAATATCGTACAACCGACTTCGGGTCAACCCTAAGTTTTAACTCCGCGCATGGAGCACAGAAAAAATGACGTTGGTCAAATTGATGCAAGCGCGTGTGAAGCTAAAGTCTGTCTGTGTGTGCACGCATGATTTCTTGAAAACTCAGTACTGGAAGCCCGAAACCATGCCGCAGGTGCGGCCACAGCGATAGAGATACCACGCCCACGCATGTCCATACCGGAAGTGAAAACTGCGTGTCGTTTCAGAATAAAATAAAACTTGGGAAGTTTTATGTGGAAGTAGAGTTCAACCGCCCTCTGAACGAAAGGGGCAAGGGGCAAGGAAAAGGAAACACGTACTGCGGTGCATGACCCAAAGCACGTCTGCCAGCCACACCCTGCGCGTGCTTTTCGTGGGTACACTATGGTAGTTCCACGCACGGCTTTTGTTGTTTTTTGTGTTCACATTAAAAACCGCCCCGGTCTCCGCGCAGTACCTTTTAATATCCGTATACTACTGGTACAACTGACGCGGACGCCTTCCGTGGTCACAAGCCAACTACACCCCCAAAAGGGTACACTATACATTTTCTAGAACGAAACGAAAATATAAAATGGGCTAGGAAAAATTTCTCCAAATGCGGAAACAGCGTAGCACAAAAATAACATGCGTCCAACAATTCGCCATTTCGAAACATGTTGCCACCTGTGTCTACAACAGGTGCGTGCATCAATATCCCAAACAAGGACCCCCTTGTTTTTTCACAGAGCGGCTGCAGCTTTTTTTCATCCAATCTTTCGTGTCAAGCCTAGCCACCTGCCGAAAGCTCGCGTTTGCCACATAGGCCACCGCTTCCCTCCAAATACCCCCAAGCCGCCAAGCTAGATATGCACAATCCACAGGTGGTCACGAGACCGTGTACATGCACAGGAAGCATGGTCTTTGGGAGAATTTTGGTGCACATTTAAGATGTAGAACGTTTCCAGGAAATGATGTTTCTCTGTGTTGTAATGAGCAGTAAACACGACTCCAATCGATTGAACTGGTTGCCCCACTCGCTCTTGGAGGCCCGGAGTGCGCATGTGTTGTGCCCAAGCCAGAGATAAATATTGTATAGAACGCCACCAACGCGCTACTTCTAACACAACTCAAAGCATGCACGAAGAAAATATGACCATCAATCAAGCAGGCCGTAGGATAGGATGTAGACATAATATCTTATCGACTCCAACTCCAATGCTCGCACCAGTGTTAATTCTAGGGAACAGTTGGTCGTGCGCACGGCCAGACCCTGTGTCGCTTTTTTTATCTGAAATCTAGTGTTGTCCAAAAAATCAAGTCGGAATCGAAGTCTGCACATGTACTGTTCTCAAAGGGAGGAATCGAAGTCTGCACATGTGCTGTTCTCAAAGGGAGGCATGGAATTGTGGCACCTCTTCGGAAAAGTTTGCAATTTTTCCTCGTCTTGTCTCGCACATTCCCCCGTTGGACTCTTCTCGGCAAGTACGCAAACAGCGTCCACGACCTCGGGGTTGTCTACACAACATGTGTGTGACCCTCATCTCGAAAGGCTTTTAACTGCAATAAATGGGCACCGGGTTAGAACAACTTGGCAGTCTGTGTTAAGTCTATTGCTGGCGTATCCGTCTCAGATTCGTTTGTGAACTGTCTGTTGAATACGTCAGGCGAAAACACGACAGTAGAACCCAAGAAAACTTTGTCAACTTCCCACGCTCTACCTTCACCCATGCTTTCATGTCCCCCGTGTCCCCCATTGTTAATGCAGCACATGCCTATCCTCGTCATCACGGACATCATGTGTCGTGTAGGTCCGATCGTCCACGACCGCTGCCAGACGGCGGCGCCGAACGAAGGAGTTCTTCCCCGGGTTGGCGAGCCTGACGAGCATGGCATGCGGAAGGTGGACATCCCAGCACTAGCGCCTCTGGGAAATTACTTTCTTGGCGCCGATCAGGTTTCGGAGCCCGTACCGCAGGAGAAATGCACTCAACGCAATGTGTACAATCTCCTGCGCGATGCGCAAACTTCTCCTCCGGTTCAACGGTTGGACTTCGGTCAGCTTCTCAGCGTCTCAGCATGGCAGGACAGAGAAGAAGGGACCACCGCCGTGGACTTCGTGCTGCTTGCTCGGGCCCGTTTGCGGAACCTGCGCCGCCGAAGCCACCACTCCATGGACCTCTTTGAGGTAGTGGCTGTTCTGAACGTGCGCCTCACCAAGCTCGTGGCTTTCATCAGCGAAGGACAAGACAAGGAGGTCCCGCCAGCAGTACTTGTCGAGGAAGAGCAGATGGCCCCGGGCTCGGTGCTGCCGACGTTATCGGCGCAGAGCGTGTTCTCTACACGCGTTCTCGCGGTGGCGACTGGGTCCACCACCGGCAAGGCTCCGGAACTACCTGCCTTCTCTCAGCATCTTTTCGAACCTGTGGCTGGCCAGAATGATCTTCGACCTGCGGCGCTCGATCACCTGGTTTTGACCTACGCCCGGGTGAGTACGTCTCCTTCGCGCAGCTGACGTAGTGGGCTGTTGTGCTTTGTCTTTGGCGGTATTATCAATACTGGTGGTTGTTCGTTGCTCCGTTGGTCAAGTGGGTTTATTTTCGCGTTCCTCATTGAACATCGTTGTCCCTCCTTCTTTTTTTTCTCCCACCTTACGTTCCTTCCGTTTTCCTTCTCGGCGTCGCCGGTTGATTTGATTTCTGCGCGCGGCAAAACCTACCTTGTTTCATGTTTTGTTATTCAATTCGGAGCAGTGAACATAGGTAGATCACTGCTGACATATTGACATATTACTCATGTGTTGCTGCAATTTGAAAAACAATGCTAGAGACGCTAGAGCGGGGAACAAGAACATTTTTCTCGCATGCTGGTAAGGACATGCGCATGCTCTGTGCCCACCGCTAAAACTACCACACCTCTCCCATTCAGCGCATGCACTTCGTTGCATATTAATAGGCTGTAGTGCTCGAATCTCTTGAGTTGCTGCCATGTCAACAAGACTACCCAGCAATGTTTTTTTTTTTCTGATGCTTGTACAGAGTTTCCTGTATAAATGCATTAAAGCAGCCCATTGCGGTAACCCAACTATTTAGACAAATTTTTCGATCACACGGTTTACTTTCCGTCCCCTTCTTCGGGACCTCTGACATCTGGATCAGGCCAAGGAGGAGTTCATCGCGATTGGACTTCAACCTGCCAACCAGTGCGCAAAGAAGAGGGCAGGTACGAGGACGTGGACACTTGCGTGTTAGGTGTTGAGGCTAGTCGTTTTGTTGGTCCAATAATCTAAGGACCACCAATCTACCGGGCTGTGTACGTTTTTCCATAATGTGTCAATGTTGGTGCCGGTATCAGGCCGGTATGGTACATGTCGTTCGTTACCTCCAAGCCGGCTCAAAATGATCAAACCTTAGTCAAAACGTTTTCATGAGCCAACACATGGCATGCCGTTTTTTTGTACGTCATCTCTGTTCGTCCTCACAGAACTGGCTGTGCGCTCAGGAGCATGCTTCGGGTCGGCGGTGCAGCGTACGAAAGCCCTTCAGATTCAGGTGGCTCAACATCAACCGGGGAAAAGCGCTGACACCAATGGCATCGTGGAAGAGTATGGCCTTCCGTTCGACATCCAACCGCTGCAGGAGGACCCCACGGCGACAGTGTGCAGAACGCACGCCTTGGGGAGCAATGCCGGGCCTTACTACGGGCCTGACGCCCTGCACGACTGCAACCACGGGGATGACTGCCGCCAAAAGTACGGTGGGATAGACTCATGCGCCCAGCTCTCGGGGGTCAACCTCAACGCGCACGAGCAGAACCATGCGAAGAAGAAAAAATTTCTGCACATGTTGAATGTCATGAAATTTGACCGCTTTGCGTTCATGGTAACTCTGATCAACGAGACCGAGAATGAGGCAATAAACCGCAAATCGGTGGCAAACATGGTCAAGCGTGTTCGAGGCCATGGCTCGGAACGAGTAGAGATTTGCCAGGCTCAGGTTTGGTTCTGCGGCAGATGCTTCTGCCAGAAGTCTCTAATGCGATCATTCGACCAGTTCGGCCGGGTCCGGCTGACCTTTGTTAAGCCATAGCCATACTTTTGGGGGGGCTCGGATGTTGTTGTACGATGTCTCAGATGCTTTGTGGTACGGTGTCCGCTTGAGCTGAACCGCTTGCGCCATTACGTCATTTCGCCCGGTTCGCAGTGGTGGGTAGAGTTAAATTTTTTTTGTAGTCTTTCGGCTGATGGTGTGTCGAGGCTGGTGGTAGGAGTATTCGGCTCCGCGTTTTGGGGGATAGATACGTTTGGTTTTTCTTGAGGGGAATTCATTGGTTTCGCTACACGATAGGGTTGCTTCAAGAACTATTTCCGAGCCCACCGACGTTCCGTTTGTCAGCCTTTCACACCACTTCCAGTACTATCGACTGCTCGCTGTTTTTTGTGTTTCCAAGAGCGCGATGTATCTTTTGCCTTCGAGCCTTGGCTTGAAAGATGCGTATCCAAGGACAACCAGACCTGTTCCCAAATGTGAAAGTAACGAATTGTCGAAGAGCCGTTTTTGATCCTATATCGAAAACAAGGCAGACCTACCTACCATTGGGTTCAGCTCATTGCGTTCCATCCGGATGAGGGTAGAAATTATTTTGTGTTCTGTCCAAGAAAGTTGTCTGGTGCCCACTTGGCCACTTGCCCACTTGGCCACTTGGCAATAATTTTCAGGTTGCGTTTTGGCATTCAATACCATTTCGTCCTGGACTTGTGGTACGTACATGCCGTTTCGAGATACCGTCATGGTCGGAGAGATGGCACCGGGTGCGATCGTTTTTTTAAATGTTCTTCCTTGAGTTTTTATCGCGCCCCGGTGCCATGTCTCCGACCCCGGTGCGGGAATGCAATTAGATCTTTTTGATTACATTTTCAAGGCACCCCGGTGCGATCTCTCCGACCGGTGCGATCTCCGATGAAATACACACAGGTGTTGTATGAGTGGGAGCATACCGGTAACGGCAACGTAGGCTGGTACGTAACAGCTTTCCATACAGCGAGTGGTGTCGTGTTTGATGCGAGTTTGGCTATAGAGTGACGACAAGAAAGGATGTCGTTTCCATCTGAGGTACTGGTACATACGGCATCAGTTGTCTTCCGCTTTCGTTTCGGTGTTCCTCTACGGATACCAGTACGTACGAAGCAACGTACGAAGCAACAATAGCTTCGTGTTGTGTAAGGTGGGGTAGGATGTGGCTTGTACGTTGTGTGTCTAGTTGAGAGTATACGGGTTGGCAACTTCCATACCAATTCAAATATGAAATCAACTGGCATCCCGTGTGAACCGCGACCATGCATACGTACATGCAGGGGTGGCGCTCCGCTGACACCATCCCCACATGTATAAGGAACACACATGTACCTCACTCCGGCAGCTGAAAATGAGCTCAATCTTTGGGTTTGGCGGTCGGTGTGCGATCTCACTGACCCCGGTGCGTAAATGGATGTAAATCGTGCCGTTCTCGTATTTTTTTAGCAACCCCGTGCCATCTCCCCGACCGGTGCCACCTCTCAGACCGGTCCTATCTCTCCGACTATTACGGTATATATTAAAGCTATGTTGTTTTCTTTCCGCGTTCACCCCTTCTAAACCAAAGCTTAACAAGCAGGCTATCGGGCGAGACTATGTCGGCTCCTCTCTCCCCTCCTGCAACTCCCCCTTCAACCAACTTCCCCTTCAACCTACATGAAGTCTACAAGTAAGTATGCTTCAGACAACGTGGCGACGACTCGCTCAAACCTGGTGTATAATATCTCCTCAATATACCCTGCGCAAAAACTTTGGGTTTTTCTCGATAGTTTGACATGGGAAGGTGTTGAATCTAGTATCTGCCATTTGCAACCTACATGGGAGCAGATCATCTGCGATGTGTGCCTGTAAATGCAGCAGCCTACCCGCCTGGACCGATTTCCAAACATCAATTACTCCACGAAGAGAATGCGTGCATGAAACGACTGTTTCAGAAGGCTCTTGACAGAGCGGCTTCAACGCCGCCGTTTCCGGCGCTGCCACGCTTCTGCTGTGAAAGAATGGAGCTTGGAAAATC